AAACACGTGCTAGTGAGATAACATGATGCCAAAGCGCGGCCTACTACATACGGTCGTTCCCACCAGATCATCGTTATCAGCACGTCCCATGCTATTTCCGTCCTCGCTAACTCATTCGGTCAGCGCCATGGGATGATGCTCTGCAAGCCCACTTGTGGCGTTTTTTCCACTTCAACCCCGCCCGGAAGGGCTCCCGTATGGGGCTCCTTGTTTATCTGCGACTAGTGCCTGCGGGGTTCATCGTTGCTGCATGGCCTGGGTATGTATGTAGTGTGTTGTGGTGTGTGTTGTTTTCTTTTTTTCTCTTTAGGTTGTTTACTACCTACGCTTACATGCGGCCACCATCCACTGTGGGGTCTCCGTTGTTTGTGGTTTGTTTGTGATGGAGGCGTCGTGATGGAAGGGCGCGTGTGATGTGACTATTTGGGCCGTGTCAATATATACGCACAACAAACATGTTTGGATGGAAGAGTCTAGGTTGCCAATGTGATGTACAAGTTTTGCCCTCTCGGCTTCATATGTGAGTTTCCCGTCGCCTTGGAAAGTAGATAGTAGGATGTCCCAGACCGTGATAGCAAGATAAGCAGGATAAGTGAGAAAGCATCCGACCCAAACCCGTAAACACCGCATCCCCTCCACAAATTCAAACACCCATGCCCCATCGCAACCCCGACGCAACCCAGTCTCGCACGCGAACATCAAAGATTCCTCGGTCCGCAAAGACTCGTCTTCTCCACCACGAGTTCCAGACTATCTCCGCCCAGTCCACAGGCGTTGAACCTGCTCTTCCAGCACCCACCTTCCTCGTCCAATGTCGACTGAAGTTGAACCACCTTTGTATTGAGCTCTTGAAGGTTCTTTTCCTGAAAGGCCTTGCTCAACGCATCTTTGGGTTCTTTCTCGTGGCTGAGTTGGATTTGAAGGGCGCGAGCTGCGCGGTTCGCGGCGGACAGGGTGGTGTAGATTTCAGGGCGGGTGTGGGCGTGGTAGGCACGGATTGGTTCTTGGGTTGAGGGATCGGGGGAGTCGGTGCCGGCGTCGGATGAGGAGGAAGAGGAAGAAGACGAGTCTTCAGCGTCGGCTTGTGTGATTAGTTTGAAGAGGCGGACAATGTAGCATGTGCTTGAGATGAACGATGTGCCCTTTATTGCCTGTGGGGTCTGGTTTGCGAGTGCGGATACGAGGTCGCGCTGTACCCAGATCTTGAGGTGGGAGGTGTTTGCGGGGTTGTCAAAAGGTGTGATGGAGCCAGTGAGGATGGAGCATCCGTATTCGTCCCGATTGTTGCTCTTTTCGAAGATAACGTCGTTAAAGAGGGTGGCATTGCTTTGGAACACCTTTTCGGCTTGCGCGTTTGCGTCATCGAGGCTAGTGAAGGGTCGCACGGTGATCTCAGTCGCTGGGAGGGTGCTTTCGACCTGCTCGCCCTGCCAGGTCTTTTGAAAGACGGAATATTCAAAGTAAGGCTGTGCCTCGTTGGAAACACCAGGGAGGCCATTGAGGTGTAGGATCTCCTCATTCGTGTCTATCGTAGTCTCCAAAGGAAGCAGTCCTGGATCGGTTGTTGATACGGGTGGTGTCGTAGCAGTCTTGGTGGCGCTATCGATCGTCTTCGCTGACGAGGTAGTATTCAGATCCTTCATTGGGAGATTATTCCCTTTCTTTACGATCGCGACGTGTTCATCTACAGGCTTAACATCAGTGGTCTTGGAAACAGATGATATACCAGTAGTCGTATGGTCAAGACTATCGACGTCCATCAATGTACTGGCTTCCCGTGACTTTTTCGAACCTCCAGACATCTGGATCATTGAGTCGTTCGACGATTTCTCTATCCGAGGTGTAGAAGCCGCTCCATGGGATGTGTCTCCCTTTTTTGCGGTGGAAGGAGGCACCTCGCTGGCCTTCGTAGGCACCTCGCGCGAATATGTTCTCGGGGCTACAACTGAGCCAGGGGTAATGCCATCCTCTGATGCTGGCATGGCACTATCTGGACGCTTCGAACCAGTGGTATAGGTCAGAGTAGGCCTCTTAGATGCTGTACCGGTGATTTGTCCAGATTCATCGGAGATGATGTCCAATTTTCGCTTTTGAGCTGGCTGCCCAGGAGCTGACGAAGCAGATTTGGAATCCGCTGTATCCGCCTTGGATACACTTGGTGTGGATCTCCTGGACTTAGAAGCAGATGGTTGTGCCTGGTCCTGTGATCTTTTCGCTGCTTCAGGCCTCGATACCTTCAAAACGTCTCCTGGAGAAAGTGAATGCTTCTCAGGTGATGCATTGTTCGTAGCGGTATTGCGATCGTTCCCAGGTAGTTGAGCCGTCTTCCTGAACTTGCTGACTGGAGACGTCAAGATCGGACTTCTTTTGGCAATTTCCAGCTCGTTCCGGCCACTAGTTCGAGCCTTTGAAGATGGCTTACCCGTACCATCATTTCTTGCATCCATCAAAGCCAGCTGGAGAAGACTCATAGGCTTAGTAGCAGGCGAGACCTTGTGACTTGACGCATCATTCTCGTGACCTGGAAGCGTACTTGCATCCAGCAGCTTGCGCGGTTGGATTGCTGCGCTGGGCGAAGAACCTTCAATAGCGGCGCTAGGGGGTAAGGGGTTTGAGCTGATCTGCTTTTGTACACTACCATAGGTTCTGATATTTGCGATAGGTTGCGCAGTCTCTTGGAAGATCGAGGTTGGTTTGCCCTCAGTCGTGGACATCGATGGACCCCTGACTTTAGGCTGTTGATCAAGACTTTCTGCTGGTTTTGTCTCAGATACCGCAGCGGATCGTTTACCACGGTTTGTATCGCTACTACCGGTCGACTGCACAGGCGCTGAAGGTTGTGGATTAAGTGGTGCAGTGAGACCCGGAGCAACGGCAGATGCGCGAACTGTTGCGACGGATTGTTGTGCATCCATAGCTAGTCGCTTCTCCTTGGTATTCGTCTTTGTGCCTTTAAATCTTCCCAAAAGCGCGTTAAGACGGTCTTTGTTCAACTGCTTAGTCGGTAGGTTTGTTGAAGTAGACTCAACCCTCAAGCTGGCCGGAAAGGAGTCTGGTTTTTCTAGTCCCCAGGATGGTCTTGGGACGGGTGATCTAGAAAGACTGCCATGCTTGCGGTCATCTTGATCGCTCTCGTCGCTGCCCTCGATATCGCTCTCGTCACTGCTCGTGACAACGAAACCGCCCTTCGTGCATGGGCGCTTCGCGGTGCTGGATGAGGCAAACGGCTCACTCGGACGTCTCTTGGCTGTCATGTTCTTCGTCTTGCCCACTTTGCTATCAGATCTTTTGTGGTTAACAGTTCCCATAACGCGCTTGTGCTGTCGGCGAGAAGTTGAGGTCTGAAGTTGCTTGCGTTTTGCAACCAAGGTTGGTGAAGAGAGCACTTGGCGAGATCGAGGACGGCTGCTTCGAGACTCACTGCTATCGCTTGCCGCAGTCTCAGCAGATTTGTACGCAGCAGGCTTCTTGCGCTGGCCTTTCTTAATTAGTAGTATCGGAAGTCCTGCTGGCTCGTCTTCTTCACTTGTTGCATATCCAGCGAGCTGTCTCAGGGATCGAAGGCCTTGGGTAGACACTGCCTTAGTCGTAGAGATTGACGGCAGGGCAAACTTTGGTGGGTGAGAGGTTGGCTGGTGAGCCTTGTCAAGTTCGTCATGAGACAGGTGATTGCGCTCGATAGCAGAGCCCTCATCGACAGGGCCCTTGAACGAGGTGAGAGAACCACGCGTGAGCGCCATGACGGAAGACCGATCTTGCTGACTGTGATCTGCCTGTTCCAAGAGCGACGTCTTCAGTTGAAAGTTCGAAAAAATGGCATCTGACCAAATGAGGGGGACTGGATCACATATGGGGAAATCATACGATCGGGCAGTCCGAGGAAGTCTTTCCAGGCTTGCTGTGCCTCGGGGATGTCCTGCGGCGCCAGAGAAAGCGGTACTGTCGGCATCTCCGCTGTCAACGTACGAGGCTCCAGTAAGACTAACAGGCCTTTCATCGGGCGATGGAGTACAAAACAGTGGAGATTCGTTTCGCTCCCCGGTGTGGCGCCTTCCAACATGGGAAATGGCCATGATCAAATAACATCTGGTCGATTTCACCCAATTTACGTGATCACTACAGGGTAACGCTTGTTTTTCACTGGAAGAGTGGGATCTTGTCGTCTCCCAATACCCGACAGAAGCCCAACAAACGCCGAGACGCTTGCACAGCACCTGTCGGGCGGGACATGGCTTTGCTGTCAGGCAACGATTTGGGCCTTTTGAGCGCAAACAGCCATGAACCAGAAAGAAGCAATAGGCGGACCAGGCTGGTCCTATCAGGAGCGATCAGCAAGCTTCCAGCCTCGCCGTGAGGGCCTCGTATCGGATAGCAACTGCCAAGATATGGAAATGTTGTAGGAAGCAAACGGAATGCGCTGTTCAGTTCATTTCCCGGTTTGAAACTCTGTGCCGTACTGGCCGAGAAATCTCATATGCTTCGGAGCGCTATGTGACAAATGTATGCCTAGGTTACTCACGGAAGTGTGCTCGCCTGGATCATGGTAGTCATAAAGCAAGTCGTCCCGATCGAATATCATGCCAAAGAAAGATGATTAACGAGCATCGGTTCACATCGCTGACTGTAACACCGTTCGTAGGAGATACCTAGGTAATTGCTTCTTGGATACCTAGGTACGAGATGCTAAAAGGCGCGTACCGAACGCGTGTCGAGGGTTAAAGGCGGGGCTGAGGAAGGGCATTGAAGCAACAACACAGAAAATTCACGATGAGTGAGTCGGTGTCGATAGTAAACAACGCGAAATTGGATAGTTAGGGCTTCGCAAAGGCGACGACGACGGGCCTCGGCGCGACGCGTGAAAGATCGAAGCGTCAGCGCACCATAAGAGATTCGCAGCTGACTAAGCTGGTGGGTCCACCTCGCGAATCTCCAGCCCTCGTCTTTCTGACCTACTAATTAGAACTGTCGACGCCCGTGCGAGATCGCTAATCTTCAGGGCCATGGCAGAAGGAACCGCACCAGCTGCTGAAGTCCCGGTCTCTGACAAGGCGTTGCGAGATGTGGCCAAGAATGTGGCGAAAATCTTGCCTAATTTCGCGGAGAAAGAGCCTGCAACTGCTCTGAAGTAAGGACGCAAAGTCCGTGAGCTTTGCTTTGTCGATGCCGAACCCCACTAACGTCTGAGTAGAGAGCTTCGTGTTATTCTCGATCCTGCTTTGGAAACTGCAGACCTCCCAGAACTAGAGAACAGCCATCGAGCAGCCGCATCCAATGCCTTGTGCGCAATCATTGAGTACTGCGCGGCTTCCGACTGCGCCTATGCACGGGAGGCGATCCTAGATGATTCCATATGGATGCGAGTATTCAACATATATCTTCAGCGGTCTGGAGATGCAAAGGGCAAGTCGATGAGGCAGATGCTCTTGGTCCTTACGGGTGTCATTACTAAAGATCAGAGTGCGCGTGCAATCGAACTTCGGACACGAGCTACGACCTCATTCCTGGACATTATCTGTGAGCGAGAAGACCGCATCAAAGTTAAACCAGCTTTGCAAGGCCTTGCGCATTTCCTGCTGCGGGATGTGATTTCCATCACGGATTTGGTCAGTCTGTTCGACGAGCAGCTGAAGCGAACATCAGATGCCATCCAGGGGCCGGTAACTTCGCGAACAGTGTTCACATCCTTCCTTGCCTGGGTCGTGCATCATGATACTTCCCTTTCAGCGGGACACTTGATTAAGAACTACTTACTACAGGCTCGCCGTCTCGCAAACTACGACGAACACCCCGACGATGGCTTAGTCTTACCTCCCTGGATAGAGCCGGTGATGCAGACGTTGCGCGACTGGCCAGACCGGATCCAGGAGTTTAAGACTCACGTCTTCCCTCACTGTTTTCTACCCAATCTCTCTGAGTACCTAAGGTTCCTCGCATATCTCAATTTCGAGTCCCATGTTCCGTATAAGCATGCGTTACCCAACCAGCTTCGCCAGTCCGGCAGGCGCACATCACCTCTTGGTGGACTAGAAGAGTTCAGAATACTCCTAGCAGCGATCGCAACCGGAAAGGAACTCAACATCGTAAAGGATAATGGTAAGTGGATGTGAATGGCATATATCAACAACAAAGGCTTTCGCTCATCTCTGTACTAGATCATAGAGCTCAAAGCACCATCCAAATCCGTGACGGGGCGCTCTATTTGCCGGACGATATATCAGGAGCCTGGATGGCGGACTCGGAACCAGAAGTCAGGCTTGCAGGCATGTTCCTGGGCGTGTATTCTACTTCTGTCACGAAAGCTATGAGTGGCGGTATTTTGCAGGCCTTGAAGCGCAACCTCCCCCATCTTCATACCGACACGGATGCAAATTTCCGCCGGGAGGTGCATGGTTATACACAAAAGCTATTTGATCGTCTGAGAGCTAGTACAGCTACTCTAGCAAAACCCATCACGAAGGTTACTTCTTCAGACCAGAGACGCCTCCCTTTCCCAGCGACAAGCTCTAGCCCACATGTTTCAATTGCGCGGGTTCCGCGACAAGATTCGCTTTCTGAGTCCCTAGCTTTCATCACCTGGTATGTGCAGTTCCTTGAGTGGGAGCTGCGCCCAACTGCCTCTTACCAGAGCCGCATCACCGCACTACGGTCCATCACCATCGTATTACGATCTGGGATAGATCCTGGGGTACCGTTTACCAGTCTCTCAAAGTCTGCGCAAGGTCAGCTAAACTGGGCTCACGGTCTCCAGTTCGGAAACCAGAAGCTGTGCCGAATACTGCTCGATTTAATACTGGATCCTTTTGACGATGTTCGAGACGCGGCTGTATCGGTCTTGCAGCTATGTCTAGTTGCGCTTCCGCAAACCGATAAGGAACGCATCATGTCAATGATTCCCCGATTCGTTACGAGAGCGGAGGCTACCATGCTCCGAACAGGGCGAGCGGATCAAGCGGACGGTGTTGCGCGTGCTTACGGGATGATCTTTGCGTTGGCTGGCGATGATCCAGGTGCCCCCACTGGCGAACACTTCTCTTCCAAGCAGCACCTCTTCGAATATCTGAGAACACAACTCGACGAAACGTTGACTCTGGCCCGCAGCGATCTTCCACGAGCCGTCGATGGTCGACCGGTACACGGTACATTTGCTGCATTACGATATGTGACCGATCAACCCGATTTTTACGCGTTCGTCTCGAGCTCGCCATCTGATCAGTTTGCGCACTGGAAAAAAGCGCATGGGGACATCGTAACAGGCATAGAGAGTCTGTGGTCCTGCGTCTATCACGTTCTGTGTGCGGATGCACCGGAAGGCCATGTTCCTGACGAAGTAGAAGATGAGGGTAGCTTAGACACTAAAGAGATTCTGAGTTACTCATGGAGAGGACTGAAGGAGGCTAGGTATTGATTCCTCGACTACACAGCCGACACTGCTAACTTCATCAGTGTGCTTTTACGAACGATCATCCTCAAAGCTCCTGTAGGTGACGGTGACAACGACCTTGTGACTCCAGAACTCTTCGAAAAGCTTGGCAGACTCTGCTTCACTCAGCTACTGGAGCTTCGTCATCGCGGTGCGTTTTCGACAGTCTCTCAGACATTTGCAGTCTTCTGTCGCCGCTGTGTCTTGTCGGACATATCCACATTACGTGCTTTACCAGAGATGTGGTATCAGGTTTGTACAGCCACCGTCGGCGTGATCTGGAAACTAAAAGTCTCTAGGAAACGCTACGATCCATCCAAGCAAAGTCAGACGCCATCACTCGGAGGTCGGCGGGCATACCAGCAGCCATGTCCGCTCTACTGGCAGCTGAGCCACAAACAGGAGGCAAACTCTTCCCTCGAGCTGTCAAAGATCTTGTCGCCGAAACTCTCGTGGAGGCGCAAAGCACAAATATAGAAGAAAGCCGTCTTCCTCAGGTGCATGCTCTGAACTGCATCAAGGAAATATTCACGACCTCGAAGCTGAGTATTGCATCGGAGACGTACATCGGGCAGGGTCTCGAGCTTGCTGCTAAAACTCTAAGCTCGTCCATGTTAGTGACACTTACACAGACATTACAGTTTTTAAGCTAACGCGCACTCAGATGGCCCCTTCGCAATTGCAGCTTGATGCTGTTCAAAGCTCTGATCGAACGACTACTCGGCAGCGACGAAGCTCAAGACTGGAAAGAACGAGAGCGAGCCAAAACGTCTCGGTTCTCCTACGACAACTATCCCAGTCTCGTGAAGATCCTGGTTGAACTGCTTGAGCCAAGCGGCGATCTCAAAATCATGGAGACACCCGAGAGTGGCAGTTCGCCAATGGATCTCCATGGTGCTGAAGGCGTGTTTCCCGCTCTCCAGATCTTGCGTCAGGCCCGACCGCCGGGAGATCTTACCAAGATCCGCGGCTTGGTAAGGGACTTACTACCGAGCCCGCATTGGCATATGCGAGATATGGCGGCCAGAACATATGTATCACTGGGCACTACTAACGAGAGCTACCCTGAACTCTCTCCAATTCTAGATACGGTTACCAGCGATCACAATGAACAGCATGGAAGGCTATTGGTAGTCAAGTATCTGCTGAGGAAGCTGTTGCGAGACGAAGTCCAATGCAGTGAGTGGTGTCGGAAGCAGAAACTAAATGTTCAGCTGTTGACCTCTGACAGATTTTAAACACTTCTCATCGTTGATGCAGCAGCTCGGCCAACACGCAACGAGTTGGTACATTTCGAGTGATTGCCCTTTTGTACGAGCCGCCTTCCTCGATGTTGTGAGCCTATGCGGCATGGCCATGCTGCAAAGAGCGACCGCTGTCACAATACTTAGTGCGTGGATTGACCTCACTACGTCCATAGCCATTGGACCGGAGTACAATATCGGACCAAGTGATCACCACGGTGATGATCTACTCAGGACATCCCTCGCACAGGTATACTTCGTTGACCGGATCATTCTGCGTGAAAATTCGCTTCACAGCATGGTCTCGGACGATTATCAAAACATTGGCGATGCGCTCATGCTTCTCGCAAACGAGGATCCGGATACCTGCATGGAAGCTCTGGAAGCTCTGGACTCCATATTACAGATGAAGACATCCAACGGCCTAACCATTCCATTGTCGCTAGTCCTAGCGCATATCCATCGTGTAGTCCTGGAGGCCTGCGACCCAGAAGTTATCTCGAAAGCGCAAGCCGTTCTCGCCGACGCTCTTACCAAGGACCATTTGAAAAGCGACTTCTTCAGCCTGACGATGCAAGATCAAGTCATGCTCACCTTGACAAGGTTGGAAACACAGTGCGTTCATGGCCCACCATCAAATATGCAAAGCGCCCTGCATCTTCTAGGCTCATTCCTCGACCATGCTTACACCAGCTACTCACTCCACCGTGAAGAGGTTCTCGCCCGTATCGCACGCTACATTCGCCTGCTACGCATGACAACCATCGATACCAACCCCTTCGACACTCGCTACGCAGCCATACAATCCCTGTCCGCGCTCAACTCTATTTTCTCCCTGGCCCCCAAAGGAAAAACAGGACCTCTGATCCTTGGGCTAGCCATCGTTCTCTACGACCTCCTCAACGACGATGACGACGAAATACGCGATCTAGCTGCCTCCACAGCAGGCATTCTCCTACGCTCACAGGGCGACCGACTGTTCAAAAACACGGTACCGATACTGACTACGCACCGGCTGGGGGCGTACCTGGTATCTGCATTTTCCACATCACGATTCCTCGCCAAGGAAGCAATACGCCGTCTAACCAACACGCCCTCACCCCATCGTCTCTTCTCCACGCCATTCGCCAACACTTTTGCACGGGAGAGGAAGGAAGACACGTCGCTTTTTGCGCAGGAGAAGCAGAATTTGTACAAAGACGACACATTGGACACTATGCTGTGGTCGCGCATTCTCCTCTCCCTGTCTGCCTCTGCTGTGCCGCTGAGCCTGCGCACCGATCTGACCAACTGGGTACTCGATGGTCTCACCACGCTCACACAAACAGCCGAGGGAGAAGGTGACGGCGCGCTGGGCTGGAGTACCAAAGCTGAGGTGTTTACGCTCGGTATACGCATCTTCTGTGCGAGTGAAGTGGTGATGAGGTGGGGTGGTCAGGAAAGGGTAGAGGTAGTGAAGAGGGCGAGAGGGTTTGCTGATGTGGGTAGTGAGAGAGGCGTTCATGGCCTGTGGATTGAGAGGGTCGAGAGGGTCTTGAACAAGGAAGTGGTGCGCATGCTACGCAGGGTCAAGGGAGGACTGTTGGAGATTGCAGGGTGAGCTAGGCAACGCATAATTGGTGATTCAACACGCCAATCCGACAATGAAAAGTATCTTTTGCGACTGGATGGGATAGAGTTGTACTGGACGTCCACAAAAATGACAACAACAAGCTCACTACGCGGAAGCTGGAAAAATTCGTACACTACCGCCGATAGAATACATTCACAGCACTCTCCCCCACACTCTTACTCACACTCCCATATTTTGCCTGCCAGGCAAAGAAATAAAGCAGCGCCGCGAGTGGCTGTCCCACGAGACAAAAGCTCATCCAGAAAATCATGTTACCTGCAACCCTCCCCTGGATCCATTTGACCTTTTGGATGACATCTGTGAGCGCAATGAGCGGGATCTGGAACATCATGCCAGCAAAAGCTACGCCAATGATATTGTGTGTGGGGACGCCGACGAGCAGTTCGTGCAGGACGCCAGAAAAGAGGAAGACGAGGATCTGGGCCAGCGCGGGAGGCACACCGCGGCCGACAAGCGGTGAGTAGATGTGGCGGCGCATAAAGTTGGTCACGGGCTTGTTCCAGGTAGTCCAGTAGGTGCGGATGGACGAGACGTTCCACCAGTCGCCGTAGAACTCTCGGTCGCCGAACCGCATGACTTCGGCAAGCGCATTGAGAGCGGACTGGAAGAGGGCGAAGAAGCCGCACAGCCAGCAGAAGACGCTGATGGTGGATAGCTTCATGACGCGCTCAGCAATGGACGTAAAGTTCAACGTGAGGATCTTGTCGAGCGAGTTCTGCAACAGCGGCGCGGCGTATTGGGCGGAGGCGATCCAGATGACGATGCTGAGACCAGCGAGTTCGGCCAGACGTTTGAGGACAAAGTCCCAGCGGATCGTGTCGGTTCGGGGGTAGACGGGCTGGTAGACGAGGGTGGGTGCCCACCAGAAGTAGCACAGGTTCTTCATGTTGATGTTCTGCGGATATGGGCATGCTTTGTAGAGCTCGGGCAGCGGATCGGCCTGCTTGGGGTGCAGGTAGGCATGGCGGAGGTCGCGGTTTGTGAGTGCGTAGGAAGCGCACTTGAGGAAGACGATGACGGCGTGCAGTTCGCAGAGGGTGCCAATGCCCGGGTGGTAGATGTCGTAGTAGACGTACTTGGTCGCGATGTAGAGGTTGGCGACTGCGTTGACGCTGTGGAAAAAGGCGACAATGTACCACGTCGAGTTGAAGCTGCGCAGGGCGGCGGCGTAGCGGGCGGGCGTGTCTTGGTCGCGTTGGTGGGAGATGCGGGCGTAGGCTCGATTGGCCTGCCAGGCGGCGGCGAGCTCGATCAGGTAGGTGACGAAGAGGTGGGCGGGGACGAGCAGGTAGAGCAGCAGGCCGGTGACGACGTCGGAGCGGCGGTAGTCGTGGCAGGACAGACAGATGAGGACGCCGTACTTCTGCAGGTTCACGATCATCAAGCGCAGGTTGGAGACGACTGCAGTGGTCAGCGATGCGCGGCTACTGCCGGGAGTGGCGGCGTCGTACTCAGGACCAAGATCATGAGGTTCCTGAAGCCGACGAAGCTCGGGATCTTGTCTGCGCTCTCTTGGCTGAGGCACGAGGTGCGCGACGCCGAGTGCGTCGCAAAGACATGGCGGTATTTGGTGTCGCGCGCACGCTTGGTGGTGCCATTGGGAGTGGGAGCGGTCTTTCCGCGGTACACCGGGGAGCTGGCGTGCTGCATGTCGAGGGCAGAAGAGGCGGCCAGTTGGGTGAGGGTGGCCATGGCGGAGGGTTGGGCGCAATGGCTCGGGCGGAAGCAACTAAACCAGCCAGCGAGGGACGACAGAACGAGGGCAGCGGGGGATTTGTAGTCGGGATAAGCGCGCCATGGCCGAGGGTTCTGGCACAATGGCGATAGAGTTATCAGGGCGTCGCGGGATTCTGTTGGGAGTCTGGTGAGCGGGGATCTGCACGGTGATGCAGCGCGCCCAGGTGTCGAGTGTGGCGCTGTGGCTGGGCTGTGGCCGACGTTCCCACGTCCAACGCGACGAGGCACGCGCTTCCACTGCACACAACACCTGCGCAGCACCCCGACTCACCACCGCGCACCCGACGCGCCCCCCATGGTGATCGAGTAAACGGCGTCTTCGGCAGCAGCACGCCATGGAGCGCGAATACCATCGTCCGGACTTTGAGGGAGGCTTGCGGCCCCGACCAAAACGTCAGTATGCCTGTTCATCATGCGCAGGATTCATAGACTGACTACAACCACAGGCGCCGTGACCGACTATGGCTCGACGACGGTCCAGTGGATGCGCAACCGCCGCCCGCGCTACAAGAATGCGCCCGCGCCAGAGATGGAGCGGCCGAGCGCCAGCTACATCGTCGACATGCAGCCGCCCGCAGCACGTGTCGCCAGCGCCGCCGAGTCGATACCTGCCAAAGCCGTGCATTCGTCTCTGAACAAGGTCAAGCACCCCATCAACGTCGTCAAGTGGACGCCAGAGGGCCGCCGCCTGCTCACAGGCTCGACCAGCGGCGAGTTCACGCTGTGGAACGGCATGGGCTTCAACTTCGAGACCATTATGCAGGCCCACGAGGCTGCCATCCGCGCCGTCGAATACACATCCACCGACGACTGGCTCCTGTCAGCTGACCAGACTGGTGTCGTCAAGTACTGGCAGACCAACTTCAACAACGTCAAAGAGATTCAGGCCCACACCGAAGCTGTGCGAGGCCTGTCCATAGCCCCGACCGACACCAAGTTCGTCACATGCGCCGACGACACCACGCTCAAGATCTGGGACTTTGCGTCGAGTACAGAAGAGTCGACGTTGACAGGACACGGGTGGGAGGTCAAGTCGGTCGACTGGCATCCGCACAAGGGACTGCTAGTATCAGGGTCCAAGGACCACCAGGTCAAGTTCTGGGACCCGCGCACAGGGCGCTGTCTGACGACGCTTCATGGACATAAAAACCCAATATCAAAAACCATGTTCGAGCCCGTCCAAGGAAACATGCTAGCAACATGCGCCCGTGACCACACAGCCCGCATCTTTGATCTCCGAATGATGCGCGACGTCTTACTGCTCAAGGGACATGAGAAGGACATCATCACCATGGCATGGCATCCCATGCACAAGAACCTGTTGTCTACCGGCGGCGTCGATGGTAGCATACACCACTATCTCCTCGACGAGCAGAACCCTCCCGCCGGCGTCGCACCCTCGATATCGCCCTACGACGCCGCCGACTCGCAAAACGCACCCTCACAAACCATATACCCCGCGCACAGCCTGCAATATGCTCACGACTTCACTGTCTGGACCATGGACTGGCATCCGTTGGGCCACATCCTCGCCTCGGGCTCCAACGATAGGGTCACGCGCTTCTGGACGCGTCCACGGCCAGGCGACACCAACTACGTCAATGACCGTTACCACATTGGCCAAGCAGCAGCAGAGGCGCAAGGCACGTTCGACCGCGGTCAGGGCAGGCGGCAAAAGATGGAAGAAGAAGAGCAGGAGGCAGAAGACGAGGCCGAAGGCTTGGTCGATCAGAAGATGCCTTCAAAGAACCCAGGCGGTGGCTTCCTCCCACCTGGTCTTTCGCTGCCAGGACTCAACACAGCACCAGATGGCACTTCGAGTTCTCTACCGGGTATTGGAGGCACAAACCATCCACCAATCCCACCCCCACCAGGCGGTATGCCCTTTCCACCCCCACCAAATGCGGGCGGGGCGCCTATTCCTCCTTTCAACGGCATGGACCCCTCCCGCCTTGCACAACTCATCGCATCTGGCTCCCTACCACCCCCTCCTATACCCCATGGCCACGGACCTCCTCCACCAAACGCCAACGGAGCCCCTCCTTTTCCACCACCAAACTTTCCTGGCTTTCCACAAGGCATGCCCCCTGGTATGCCACCACTTCCTCCAGGCATGCCGCCTCCCGGATTCCCGGGCTTCCCTCCACCACCTGGCGGTATGGGTGCGCCGCCACCGGGATGGCCTGGTCCGCCCCCGCCGCCACAACATCAGCAAGGGTTTGCGGGTGGGCAGGGTGGACCTGCGGGTGTAGGTGCAGATGGTATCAGGAGAAGAGCGCCGTTACCGGATCAGCAGGATGCTTTGAAGGCAGAAATGAATCAGGGACGGTACAGAAAAGCAAGGTAGACGTATTTGGCGTTAGCGTTGACACAGGAATGTACGATCAAATCAAGTTGGAAGTCAGTGAGCGTTTGTGTTACGATAAAGGACAGGGAGTGACAAGTAAAAGGTGCAGTACTAGTCCCTTTTCTTCTCCAGGAATACCCAGATTGGCCATCTACATTTGCGCTTTCGTACTGCTCGTGTGCTTCAAGACTCTTCATGTACACCTTCGTGGCCTCTACGCTCTCTACATATCCTCCACCAACCCAGGATCCTCCATGTCCTTGACGAACTCCACCTTGGCCACATCCTTCAACTCCACATCTCCCTTCATCACCCTTTCCCCATGATTCCACAACTCATCCAGAAAAGCCGGAACAAAAGTCCCCGGACCTCTGACATCCTCCCTCTGCGCCGCAACCTCCGCCGCAATCTCATAATGCAGCAAACCCGCGACAGCAGCCAACAGCTTGTCCTCATGGTACGCAGCCAGATACGCAGATAGCGTGGTACCCAACGTGCACCCACTGCCCGTGATCCTCCCCAGATACTCATGTCCATTCGCCACCGCATACGTGCGCGCGCCATCCGAAACAAGATCCGTAGCCCCCGTCATAAGCACAACCGTGCGTTCGCGAGCCGCAAGCCGGGAAACGATATGCGCCCTTTGGGGCAGCGAGAAGAGTGAAGCACCAGAGTCCACACCTCGCTGTTGCTGACTCGAACTATCAAGCGTATACCCACTCGCACGTGCAACGGCGAGAATCTCGCTCTCGTTTCCTTTAATCAAGTCGAAATACCCGGCGCCGAGGAGCTGGGCTAGAGCGTCTCGTCGTACACTTGTTGCGCCGGCGCCCACGGGATCGAGGATGATGGGTCCGCCGGCGGCGTTGTACGCGTTGATGGC